TGCCGCACACTCAGACAGCCCTCTGGCTGGCAGAAGAACACCACATCTGGGGGCAGGGGAAACTCGGCGTGATCCTCTAATGGGTATCGCCGAAGCAGTTCAGGAGTCTGGGCCACACTGTCGCTGCTCGGGTGTCTGAAGAATATAAAGACTGACTCAGCATCCCGAAGGGATAGGCTGCTCTACCAGGTTTTACCACGGTCAACAAATAAAGTTCAAAATGCTATTCTGGATCAAGTAACTAATTGCAGGACCTTGGAAAATGTGGGTGCTGCTTGCTGCATTTAGCTGGTAGGCTAAATGAGGCCTGTGCTGTCAAAGACACCTATCCTACAATGAGAGAAAAATTTCAACAATAAAATTACCACTCACACCTTTTCAAGGTGTAACAGCTAGTTAAAGAGCATATATGGATAGAGAAGGAGCACAATGTACTTTTTCTTTTTACGAAATAAAGAAACTGGGGTGCATTAAGTACATTTGCTCAAGAACACAAAGATGCTAGTGAAGAGGAGAGTTTTGCTCCAACTCTGTTCCTCCAGGCCACTACTCTCAATCCACCTGACTGTTGTTTTCACAAGTGGGATCAATGTTCCCATCAGAGTGAAATAATAGGGGAAGAATGAGATATGCAAATCAACATGGAAAAGGAGAGGAGAATACTTTTGTGGCTATCCCAGATGACAACACAAAAATCAGTGTCTTCTTGGTTACCTGGCGCCTACGATCACTAGATAGTCAAGTAACCGAGGACAGAACTTCTTCTTTTGAACCATGGTTCCAATGCATCAGTTCATCTCAGAGAAACTTCAAGGCACCAAGCAAGGAGTCAGCGTTCCCAGGAGGAATTCTGTTATTATCTGAAAATCCAAGTCTAATAGGAAAAAAGTACTGATAAGATCCATTGCTGTGCCCAAGTGACTCGGCCCTGCCAGCTCCATCCCAGCCGGGGCGAAGGTCAGAAGGTCTTCCATAAGATAAAAGAACCCAACACTCTTCCTAGCCTAGAGTTCGCTGTACGCTTATGAACTCACAGAGTCAAATGAGAAGGATAAATAATGGTTCATCTTCCCATCCCTACAAACCAGTTCTTTCACAGCCTTGCCCCGGGAGTTCTGTTTCTGAAAAACAGACCCAGTTAGTCTAATCTGGATTCAATGATTATGATAACAAAAATTATATCATTTTCAGGACCACTCCAGGGTGGATCAGGATTAAACCAGACTCTCTAGTCAGCACTAATCTGTACTCTTAGCTCTAGATGGAAATCGATTTGTTCTGTTCCAACATTCCACATTCGGCTTGATGTGAAACTACTGTATAGACTGTATAGTTAACTGCTCTCAGACAATAACAACAGCTGGCTACTCTACCCTGTGCAATCTCAAATGAAGAATATCTATGCCCCAATTGCTTTATCCAATAAACCATGTTTCTTCCCTCTTCAAGCATAAAAGGGACCCAGTGGCTACTGCTACTAGCTCTGCCCTTGGTGCTGAATCAAAGTCTCTCCTCTATTTTGGTCCCAGGATTGGAATCAGTAATACAATACACACAGACGAAGCCTTTGTCCTTCTATATCTTACAAAGACTAGGAAATAGATGCAGAAATAGCAGGATATCTGCAAGGACAGGGAGAGGTGCTCAGAGGAATTTCTAAACCATAGTCCAAAAGTTAGGAAAAGCTTACAGGGTCTTAACCATAATTTATTTCCCGCTGGATCTCCATACACTTTTGTAATAAAATGTTTCCCTCTAACTCAAGATTATTTTCAGTACTTCCATAATTCCATCTCTGTGCTTTGCACATGGCCACACCAGGGCCTTGTTCACTATACACACAGAGAGAATTCCATTACACTACACACACACTCACACACCAGTCCTCTTTTGCTGCTGCATGCACTCCCATACACACAGACCTACACACTTCCTGTATGCTTAAGGTCCTATTTGATGCAGATAAAGAGTAGAAGTTCTATCTTTTTCCTCCCCTACTTAATAATAAAAGAGACCTACTTGCATCACTTCTCAAATCCTCAAAATACTGCTCCCTCCTTTCCTGTGCTCCCAATAGAGGACCAGCAGGTAATAGGATTCAGTTTTATCTCCATAGTGATTCTGGCTCCCAATACTATTTATAGCAGAGCCATAGCCCCTCCCCTGCTTGGTGACCTCACAGTGCTAGCAGCTGCTACTCCAGAGTCAGCCAGGGCCCATAACAATGCACTCTCCTTGAATCTGGGGACACCTCTTCCACTGACAGCACCTGCTAATCATTACATAATCTTCTCCCACATCTGTCTTTTGTTTGCACTTTGTCCGAATTCTGGAGTTTGAAAGAGCTCTCTCCTTTCCACACAACCAAAACCACGTTTTCAAGCGTGCCATATACTCATGTCTAAGCATCAGTGTCACCCAGAAGTCCTCTGATACTCTCCTCTCCTGTGGAGCCATGAGCTTACTGCAGAAGGTGGAGCCCTGTTACAGAGCTGAACTGAGCTCCACCCAACCAGAACGAAAGGGGGAGAAAAACAGACAGAGAAATGAAATGGGAGATGGGTAAAAGCATAATTCATTCTATGAAGAATTATGTGGATAATACCTAGGGTGAGAGCCAAAGTACAGTAAGTCTTCACTTAATGCCATCAGGTTCTGCAACTTTAAGTGAAACAATATATCACGAAACCCATTTTACCACAGGCTAAGTTGACATAAACAAGAGTTAAGTTCCTACAGCACCTCATCAACGTTATAACTAAACAATGTTGAACAAAACATTATTTCAGGACCTACTGCACCTTAAAATAAAACAGAATTTATAGGACCAGAGCTCAAGGGGAAGTCTTAAAATCTGTATTTACTTTAAAAACCAGGAACCCTTTCTGCCAAAATCTCAAAGATCACACCTGAAGCATCTTCTAGTAATATATTAGGTGTCAAGCCTCTAGCCTTAGTGGGATCCCAGCCGCTCACCACTGAGAGTCATTTGCTAAAAATCAAATCATTATTATACTCTACAGTGCTCATCTCCCTCCAGTGAGGCAAGGTCCCTGAGATCTTGTGACTCTTCTAGCTACTAGCAATAGGATAGATTTTTAGCCACAATTCCTATCTCATTAACAGCCATTGCCTTGGTTACTGATTGCACAGATAACGAAGGCTATTCTTCCCCTTTTCTCCCCTCCTCACAAACCCTCTACCACTACCTATAATTCACACTCTGTCTTTATATTCACCCAAGCTCAGACTCTGCCTCGCCTCAACCATATTTACTAACATGGAACCCTGGTTCCTAGGTCCTATATTCCAAGGTATCAAGTTCAAAATGCATAACTATCTGCTGAAGTCCTACATCACCGTCCACTCCATCCAGACTCAGAATTAGAACCCACAGACCTTTCTTTAAGTTATCAATGTCTTTCCAGCAAATGGCCACGTTACCCAACCCTTTAGATTCGTCCCTCTTTGGGGGCAGAATTTCATAGTAAAACCACAGGAACCGGAGAGCGATATGACATATTTGCTGACGTGAGCACAAGAGGCTCTCTCACCTCCTCCCCCTCCCCAGGCAGTGACCTTGCAAGCACATCCACACAGACTGGTCCAGCATGGGGGAGAACAGAGAGCAATGAGGCAGGCAAGAGGCTGGGCTGGGGAGGAGGAGAGGGCGGAAGGAGGAGGAAGAATTTAGAGATGCACGAGAATGAGGAGAGAAGCAGTTGCAGTAAAAGATTAAACGGTGTCTCCACTCTCTAACGAGCCAATTTTGAAACACTAAATTTAAATAATTTTTTTTTTTAAAGACTCAAACGTGGTTCTTCAAACCCGAATGAAAAATAAGGCGCAAAGCACACGCACACGCGCGCGCCAGGTGCCAATGCTGGGTCGGCCCCGGAGCTGGACAATCTGCCCGCCCCCTCACCTGCTGGACAGTTCTTCCCCGCCTCCGCCCCGGAACCAGTGCGGCCCGCCAGTTCGGCAAGAATCGAGCCCAGCAGCCCGCGCCCCCTCGGCGGCTCGGAGCGCCCCCACTTCTAGCCCGGAGCCTTCTGTGCGGACCGCTTACTCACTCTCGAGACCCCTTCGTTCCTTTGGGCCTCCTGAGACCCCTTCCTCCTAGAGCTCCTGTTTCCTCTGAGTCGGTTCTCTCCTAGGAGCCCCGTCCCCAAAACCCTTTCAGGGCCCCCAGAGGCCCCGACCTTCCTACCTCCGGAGCCTCGGGGGACGGGCCAGGCGCGGCCGGACGTCCCCCGGCGGCGGAGCGTCAGTCGCTCCCCGGCGCGGGCGCCGCTCCGAGCACGCGCCAGTTCCGCGTCTGCAGGGGGGCGCCTACCACTCCGACCCGGTGAGGGTGGGCAGGCTGAGGGGGGCCGGGGCCCTACCATTCACCCCGCGGGGGGACGGGGCGGCGCCAAGCCGAGCCTGAAGGGTGGAGCGGTCCTCGGGAGAAAGGCAGCTACGCACACACCTATGAGTGGGAGTGGGAAGGCGATGGAGCGCGCAGGGCCAGCCTAGCGCCACTGCGTGCCAAGGGGAGGGCCCAAAGGAATACCTTTTGTTTAGGTTGCGCAAACATTTTAATTCGACGTGGTAACAGAGCAGATCCAACGAAATGTGGATTAATCGGGAAGCTACTTCTCAATATAAACCGCTCCTGACACTTTCTGACCGTCCCCCCACCTCACCTTTCTCCTCCCGCACACGGCTTGGAAGTGCCCAGCGGCCTGGGCCGGACAGCCGGCTGCCGGGCGGTGGAGCCTACCAATTCAGGGGTGGCGGGGGGAACAGAGGCCGGAAGGCGCGGCGCTCGTATCACCTACACCGGGTGCGCTCCAAGGGAAGGGGGCGTGAGCGGTGCCGTGTTGCCCGCTGGGAAATGGAGTCCAGCCCTTTTGAGAGTCGCTACCCGAGCCTGGGCAGCCTCCTCCTGGCCTCAGGGTACTTTTCTTTTTGTTCCATAGTCTGGGGGCCCAGAGGAGGGATGTGTGCCCTCTTTTTAAGATGCCAAAAAAACCCAAGGCATTGTGCGCGCACCCATAAGAAGACAGGTGCATAGTTGAGGCTCTAGCTCTAAAAATTTAACACCCTCTCCCCCACAGGAAGACGACATGATCGCCCCCCCTCCCATCATGAAACGAGAAGAGGGTTATCAGCATTTCATTTATCCTCAGGGCGCAATGGGGCTAGTAAAAGGAGGCTGGCACTTGCGATCCTAAAGGACACAGGCTTCCTTCCTCCGTTGCCACTCCCTTACCCCAATCCAGAAATTGTTTCTCTCATCCTGTATTCATTTCGGTCTTCTTGTACAAACAATATCAGACCGACCTATCAGGGAGGCAGCCCCGAGGCATTTATAGCCAAGCCACAGAGTGACAGTGGAGAATTTCTCTAGGGGCCCAGTGGGGAAAACAGGAAGTGGTGGAGGCAGGATGGGCAGGGCCCTGGAGAACCTTGTGCAAAGTGGCCCCCATGTTCATCCATTCGGTCCGGTCAGTACAGTGTTCATAGGGAGCACAGCTTTTTCAGGACCCTCAGTGCCCAGCAGCCACAAAAGTCCCAATCCTTTGACTCTCCTTTAATGCCACGTGAAGATCTCCCTTGCCCAGCTCCCAGGAATGTTTGCCCTTCTCAGTTTGTTCCACCACTAGGAGGCAGCCACCCGGCCTCAGCCAGCCAGGAAAACAGAAGATAAAGGGAGAACAGTCATTCGTGCACATCCCAGATCTCAGAGAGCAGCGGTGGAAGCTTTTTGTCCTGCAGGCGCAGTGCAAACACTTGCTCTGAGTGGACGCTGCTCAGGGTCCGGAGGCTCACCAGCTTCATTAGCATCCGTGGAAACATTAGTCGGTCCTGGGGAAGGAGAGGACAAGTACAGTCTTTGTCTCTCCCCAGAGAAGCGGGGAAGGGTAGGGGAGTTATAGGAGAGGTGTAATCAGAGAGGGATTCTTGAAGGTAAAGTAGGTGTGTCAGGGAATGAGCCTGTGTTGAGAAAGGGCACAGAGGGGAGACTCACATGGGGGTGGTGGATGGAGACGTAGGCATGCAGGGCATCCACATATGTGTGTTGCAGCCTCTCTACCTGGAGTTGATCCTGCACATTGGGCCGGTCTATAGTTCACCAACAGAGTTGAGGAGCAAGTCTGGCCAGGATCAGTTCCATACCCCAAATCACAACCCAAAATAGGAACATGTCCGGCCCAACCTCTCCCATCCCAAAGTAACACAGCAAGGGCCTCCACCCCTGCAATGCCTGTCTTATGGGGCAAGAAGCCCTCCTTAGTTCAAGTGTCTTGCTCATTTTCCCTCTTGCCCCTCCTCCACACCTGCAGAAAAGATGCTGATGGCAATGAGCAAAGCAAACTCGGCATCATTCAGTTGCAGCTCATTCATGGCCTTGGAGAACTCGAAGATGGGGTTGATAAACTCCACTTGCAGCCCTGGGGAGGAAGAAGGGAGGCTGGGCATGTGGCATGAGCAGCAGGAACTTGCCTCTCTCCTCCAACTCAGTAACTTAGAAAAATACTAGGGACTCAGTAAGAAGTCCCCAGGGCTCTGCTCTGTAATCTTGGGCAAGTCTTAACCACTCTAAGCCTTATCTGTGAGATGGGAATCATATCTGAATTTATAAGACTGTCGTGATGGTTAAATGATAAAACATGCAGAGCACTTAGCACTGTGCCTGGAACATGGGGGCTGCTGGATTACATGATGATAACAATTCTGTTATTCTTATTAAAATTCTGAGTGCCCCCTTACTAGAAATAGAGGCAATTCATTTTTGTTTACAAAAATATTTTCACTGGCAATTGGTTTTACTTATTTGAATACTAGAAATACATTTCATGTTTCGTATCCCAGGGGAACTTAGCAATGTGGTTGAGGGTGTGGACTCTGGTGACAGACTGCCTGAGTTTGAGTCCTGGCTCTACCATTATTAGGCTGTGTGACCTTGGGTAAGTTACTTAACCTCTCTGAGACTTGGTTTTCCCATCTGTGAAATGGAGATAATAGCGCCTACCATAATGGGTTCTTAGAATAATGTGTGGCACATATGGTAACTACTATATGAGTGTTTGCTAAATTAATAAAACTTTTAAAATAAAACCAGTCTCTTGATGAGGAGATTGAAGTTCAACAAACCACAACCTAATGTCATGACATCTAAAAAACACTTCTCCCATATGTACCGTCAAAGTCTCCCCACCCCATACCCTCCCCTAGGCTTTCTCAGATTTCTTATAGCAACCATCTGCTAACTTTTCCATTCGAGGTTTCTTGATTACTCACTTCCTGTACTTTCACCCTGATGTTTATCAAGTGTGTGTTGATACATTTAATGGACAAGCCCCATTTTATAAAGTATTTGTTAGTGAGGTATTGAGCTTTGAATTGTGCTAAGCAGCCTGTTTGTGCAGAGAGAACAAGGCAGTTCTAGAGTTGGATTATACAATCCTGAAAGGCTCTGCTACTGCTCGCTGAATAAAACCTCCGATATCATCAGTCCACATCTTAGTCTTGTGGAGGGAGAAGAAGACACAACAGAAGAGAGCCCCTGTTCCTTCTCCCCGAGACCTCACTGACAAAATGACAAGTGAAAGGCAAAGATGATATCAAAACTGCTTATATAAATGAATCTATAAATAGGTACAGATTCAGATAACACAAGCTTGAAAGTGCTGAAGAAACACATACACGAGAACTGGGAAGGGTTCAGAAAGGAGGATGTTATGAAGGAGAAGGCCATGGTTAAGAAGGACTGGGATAGTAACCACTAGGGGAAAGGTGGTTTGGTACAGAAAGGAGGCAGGGCTGGGCTTTCAAAGATGGAAAAAAAGGCAATAAATTGCCCATACATTCTGGTAGCCCCCAGAGGGCAAAAGGTGCCAACACAGCCCTGCTGTGTCCTCTAGTTAAGGGAGGCCTTCCTAGGAAGCTCATGGGGTAGACTGTGTTAGCACAACAGGAGGCACATGAGCTGTCCTGAGTCACCAGACAGCAGAGAAGACTATAAGCTCAGCCCTGGAAACCAGGACCTACCAACCCCAAGAATGGAGTCAAAGCCTCAGCCATATTTTATAGACTCGGTTATTAGACTACTCAGTCTTCTATTGAGCCTCAGCGCCAGTCCCTCCAGAACAGCCTCAGTCTTCCATCCTTTCCTAATTCTCTTCCCATAACACAAACATTGCCAGCAACTGAACATGAGGAAACCAACACTGCTTAGCCTGCAAGCAAACATCAGACAGACAGCAGCAATGGGAACACATTCTTGGAGAAAACACTCCAAGTACAGAATGGGCACAGAAGCATCCACTCTGATCTTAAAGCTGCCCCATCTGGGCGTGTTTGCTACGTAACAGCTCCAGTTCCAGGGCTCTTGAGAAAGAGCAAGTGAAGAAGAGTTGAGGGAAGTTAGTCCACGCATCCTTAGAGAGCATGTCTGGGAAATATTTGCTCATTATTGACTTCTAAATGACTACTTGGTATGGTCATTTTCAAGCTTTTTTCCTTAGCTGTAAAATCTTTTCTTGAAGCAAAACATTGTTCAGAAGCATGATATGTAATGCAGATTTAAATAGAGCTTCTTGTTTGGCTCCATTTAAAGTAAGAATGAAGGACATCCCTGTGCCTCCTTGTTTCTTCTCTAAGGTGAATGTCTATAAAACCCCTCACTCAGGTTCCTTGGAATATGGTTTGAGAACCACTGGCCCAAGGCAACAGAGGACAGGAGTCTACTTGTGACAGTTGAGAGAGGTCTATCAGCATTCCAACTTTCTGTCTTGGAAAAACAGGTGAAGCCTTCCCTTTACAGCCACCCAAACCTTGGGCCTGTGGCTCTGGAGTTACTATGTGCCCCAGGACAAAACGTGTCTGTCCATCCCACCTAGTACCTTTGTGATCTCAGTTCTCACCTGCTTTGGCAAAGTCTTCCCGGTTATAACTAAAATCCTTGAGGAAGGTGATACTCTCACTCCCAGGGTTGTACCTCCGAGATGTCTCCAGAAGCATCACCTGCACACAAGTAGCAGACCTCAAACAGGGACATGGTAGGCTGGTCTTGGCATGGGGCACCTTCAGTGGAAGGTCCCTACTTCCCAGTGCTGGATCTGGGTTCCCAGCTGGCTGTCTGGAGGCCCTTACCACAGACAATCCCACTTTGGTTCTCCCTTCACCCCTCAGCCCTGCCAGCCACCTCAATCGCAGAGGTCTTTAGCAGGGCGATCTGGTCCTCCCGGCTGAGCTGCAGGAAGCCTGGAAGTTGTTTGGCAAAATCAACGATCTCCTGCACAGAGACGATGGCCAACTCAGTGAAGTGGGCAAAGCGCTGCTGACGGGCCTCCCAGCTCTGGGGATCTGGGGCCATGGGCCAAGGCTACCCGGAAGGGCAAGGGGGGAAACAAACCAGTCTGAGTCACACACCAAGAAGCCAGCTGGCGCTCTGGGCACAGCCACCTCTCCCCAGGTCCCTCAGGTACCGTGACTCGAAGTCGGTCAGAAAAGGAACGTCTGTTACACTGTTGCTGGGCAGCCACTAGCTTCTCAATCATGCCCAGTTGCTCTGGGCTGAGCTGGGGCAGGACTTGGGGAGGTGAGGATGCCCTTGAGGGCACGGATGTGGCCTGAGCCTGTTCCTCCTCTTGCCGCTTCAGTTTCTTCAGTCGGATCTGCTCTTCCGACAGGACACCTGAGGATGGGCCAGACGTGAGGAGGGAAGAGGAGGGGGAAACAGGAAGCAAGGATGGGCCAGAGGGGTAGTTTGAGGCTCAGGAGATCACAGGGTAAAGGCCAGGAAGAGATTTTAACCCATATATAGGGACCGTGTAGGAAGGCCCGGTAGGCTCAGCTGCCTGTCTGCCCTCACACCCTGGCACCCACATGTCCTCCTTCCCATCAGCCCCTTCCCCATTCCTGCCCCCTACTCACACTCCTCCCGCATGCCAGCCTGGCGGCATTTTCGAAGGCGACACTCCTGGCACTTGCGACGCATATAGGTGTCCATGGGGCAGTGGCCCCCGCTGTGGCAGATATAGTGCGCCCCTTTGATGACACTGCGGCGGAAGAATCCCTTGCAGCCCTCACAGCTCAGCACGTTGTAGTGGAAGCCAGAGGCCTTGTCCCCGCACACACTGCACAGCTCATTTCCCAGCATTTTGGGGGCTGGCCCCTTTTTCCGCTTTTGTGGACGGACCTCTGGATACAGGGAAGTGCCTTAATGTTCTTCTCCAAGAAACAAGTGTGGTGCCCAGCAGGCCACTGCCCTGAGCACTCAGTGACCCTCGTTCCCTTTTAACATGCAGTCTAGTCTCTCCATTATAAGAAAGTAGCTCTCATATGCTGTGCTGTTTATTATGTCCCAGATACTGTCTCAGCCCTTTATATGCATTGATCGTGATAATAACTATAAGAGATAAGCTATTATTACTATTTCCATTTCATAAATAAGGAAGCTGAGGCTTAGAAAGGCCCAAGGTAAAAACAAAAAATGCATACTCAGATCACTCAGGTCTAGTTGACACCAAAGCCTTGGTACTGACATGTGGTAAAGAGCCCCCAAGATACCCCTTCCAGATCCAGGGAGCCCCTACATCCTCCAAATCTAATAGCTCCTCACCTGTAGACTCTGAAGGGGCCTCCACCCCTGGGAGCAGGGCTATGGGATCTGCTGCCTCCAGCCTCACCCCCGAAGTGCCCCCAGTTGATTGGGGCATGCTGGCTTCCTTCCTGAGCATGCAGTCGCTGCCTCTCAGTGCCTGGCCGCTTGCATCTTGTGCGTCTGGGTCCCACAGCTCCGCTGCAGAGTCTGAGCAGGGGAAGAGGCACAGGGGTGGGAGGTGGGGGGTGTGTGTGTGTCTCAGGTCCTCCTCCACTTCCCCAGCATCCTGGCTGGGAAACTGAAAAATATCTCCACCCATAGAGGGCAGCAAAACATCAGCTCAGGCTTCAGGACCCTGGGGTTTGTGTGGGCTCTAGAGCTAGTCGCTTGCAATTCCCTGCACCTCAATACTTTAAATGAGGATATTAACCTTTGTGCCCCTGGGGCCTAACATGCATCTATTTCAAAGATCAGACAGAACCCTTAAAAGCCAAAGTTGGATAAGCACTGGACAGGCCAACTCTCCCCAGCAGCAAGCCCAGATTGAGAAGGACTTGAGGTGTCTGCAAGGGCCAGGCACCTGAACCAGGGTAAAAGTAGACTGAGCAGAAGGAGGCAAGGATGGCTCTAGACTGCTCCCCAGGGAAAGACAGAGGCAGGTAGTGAGGGGTCCTGACTGAGGGGAGAGCACTGGAGCAAAGAAGCTTACCAGGAGAAACATCAGGCATAGGGGCCTCCAGCCAGAAGGACATCTCTTCCTGGAGCCCTGGACATTACCAACGGACTGTCCTGCGGGAACAACCCAGATTATACTCTTCCGGAACTGGGCTCCTTCTTTATCAGTACTAACACATCCATTAGCACTTGATATGTATTTACATCAGCCTGTGCTAAGGCATTACCTGCCTTCCTCACAGTGTCCCTATGCGGTCAGGACTATTCTTTTGCCCATTTTTACAGATAAGAAAAACGAGTTTCAAAGAGATTAAGTAAATTGTCTTTGGCCACGCAGTTAGGCAGTGGTGAAGCCAAGACTCCAACTCTGGTCTCTCTGATGCCAAATTCTGAGCCCTCAGCCACCAAGCCACTTTTCTCCCCTGTGCCCATATCCTGGCCATCAGGGAATGTTTGGGCACATCTGCCCTGGTTCTGTCAAAGCCCCTTCCCCTCCTCCAGCACTGGGGACAGCCAAAGTCGGGCAGGACCAGGACATGGGATCGAGGCTCTACCCGGTGAATTATGCTGCTTGTTAGATAACCTCACTCCTGCGACTTCCCAGGATCCCAGCATGAATCCGGTGCCTCCAAGAGCTGCCCCAATTCATATGCAGGACGTCCTCCCTCACAGCCCTTTGGGAGTTATTCTGGAACCTAAGCAGAATTCTGTCGCTGCCCAAGCTTCCATCGCTGTCATCATCCCTCACTTCTCCCCAGAGAGACTCCTTTCTAAGATGCCTAGGACACCCCCACCCCTACCCGCCCCCCACCCACCAGGCACACAGAGTCCCAGGTAAGTGCTGGGGAGCAGACCCACCGAATGCCCAGGCCACCAGACTTCCTGGCTGGGCAGTCTCTGGAGCCCCCTTGCTGAGAGAGGAGGAAGGTGCAGTCCCTGTCCAGAGGCCTCCGTGGTGGCCGAGAAGCCGGAGCTGAGCAAGATGGGGGCCGTAGCCCCAGGGAAGTAGTATGGGGAAAGGCTGAGAAGAGGGACTGCCAAGGGGTCTGGCCACTGTCCTTCCTGCCAGGCAGACCCTGAGTCAGAGCTGGAGCTGCTGACCCAACGACCAGACCAACTGGAGCCCTGGCCTCCTCACCCCCGCCCACCAGGCAGCTTCCCCACCATGCTGACTCCTCCCCAGCCAGCCACCCCCTCAGCCCAGCGCCACCCCTACCCCCCTACCCCCAACCACAACAGTCGCATTTCCCTGCAGACCGGCCCAGTTTCATGGCTCCCCTTCCTCTCCTCACCCAGGCTGCTCCTACAGAAGGACTGCCTCCCAGGCACCCCCACCCCAATCCCGGCAGCCTCCAGAGTTGGTGTTCCCTCCCCTCCATAGACATTTCGTGGAGCAAAGGTCCCAGCACAGCCTGAATTGCAACACGGAGCCCCAGCCTGCTTTCCTAACCTCCCTCCTCCTTCCCTGCCTCTGGGAAGGGGCCAAGAAGCTCTCCCCACCAGCCCCAGGCCTCGGCCAAGCTGGAAGAACTCCAGGGGTGGAGAGAGGCAGGTGCTGGGCCTTCTTGGGAATCTCAAAGTGGGGGTGCCCTGTGAGGGCTACTGACAGGGGAGGAGGCCAGGAGAGACAGAGGAGCAATGGCAGGCCGGGGATTGGGGTCAGGGTAGAGATGGCCGGTGACCCAGATGCCAGCCCAGGATGGACCTGGGAAGGTGTGCAAGTTCCCTCATCTGGGGGGCAGTTCCACATGAAGTGATGATAGGCTCTGCCCATTAACTATTGAGGCCATAGCCACAGCCTTCCTGTCCTGTTGCCTAGAACATGAGCTACATCCCTGAAGGTAGATACCAAGTTTTATTGATTGTATCTCCCCTCTAGCCCATGGATCAGGGCCTCAAATAGAGTAGGCAACAGAATAGGTACTGTGTTCCTGTTCATTAAATGAATAAGTAAACAAGAAAAAAAAAAAGATCACCTTGTAAGCTCTAGTCAACTTCATTTCAGCATGTTGATTTAGGTTTTGGGCTCTGGGCTCAGATTTTGGGTTCAAACCCTGACCTTGCCTCTGCCTCTTATTAGCTGTGTGATCTTGATTAAGCAAATTACTTAACATCTCTGAACCTCTGTTTCCCTATCTTTAAAACTGAGATAATAGCCCTGGCTGGTTTGGCTCAGCAGTTAGGTCTTCGATCCAAGCACCGAAGAGTCATAGGTTTGATTCCCAAAGACACGTACCTGGGTGGCAGGTTCGATTTCTGGTGCCTGTTGGGGTCGTGTGGGAGGCAACCAATAGATGTGCATCTCTCAAACTGATGTTTCTCCTCCCCCCCCATTCCTCCCTTCCACTCTATCTAAAAATCAATGGAAAAATATCCTCGGGTGAGGAATAAAAACAAAACAAAAAAACCTGAGATAATAATCATGGTTTTTGCCACCTAAAGTTGTCACAAGAATTAAATAATATGTCACAGCACAATGTGTGGCCCATAGTAAGTGTTCAAGAGATGGTAGCAATTATTGTTAAATTTCCCATCCTTTTAGCTATCGACTTCTCAACACCTTAAGTCTGTACGTTGTTAACCCTCCAGTGCTTGTTTCCATAAGCAAACCCCTCAGTTTCTTTTGGTCCTCAGAGCAGCCCAGCAAGGCGGGGTAAATAATACAAGCTCCATTTACAGAGAACACTAAGCTCATGGGAGAGGCTTCCAGAAGACCACACACAGTGAACAAGCCGGAATCAGAATCCAGATGTCCTCACTCCAGTCCCTGTTCTCTTTCTTTCTCCTGTGTCTTATCTTGTTGCCTCCAGGTCTGCTGGACCAGTGAAATGCTGAGATGGTAGAAGCCCGAGCTGGGGACTACAGTGGGAGAGGCAGAGAGTCCTGGGGATGCTTCAGTCCAGATGTGGGAGGCGAGGAGCCGAGGTTACTGCTGGCTGTTCACCCCCTGCCCCACTCCCAGCTTCCTGCTCACAGACTCTTCCTGTTTTTCTGTGAACTCCAGTTCCCATGGGCCCCACATTAAAGCATGGGACAGGGGGCCAGGGCAGGCAGCCAGAGGCACCAGAACAGATGAACAGTGCATGGGGAAAGAGGACAGAGGGAGCAGGGAGAGTGGATGGGAGTGTGGGGAGAACAGGCTGGGAGGACAGGGAGAGCAGAAATAGAACAGGAGCTTGGTGAAAGATGGGAAGAAGCACACAGGGTGGGGCAGGAGGAACAAGTGGGGGCTGGGGAGCACAGGCTGGAGATGATAGCAGGCTGGGTGGTGTTGCAAAATCTGCCCATGTACCCGTTTTCACATTTCAGAAAAGCCCCTCTCAAAGTTCTGCCTCCAGCTTTTGCTCTAGTTCCCTCTCATCACAAGGTCATCCCCTCACACAGCCCCCACCTCGGTCTGGGCATCTCTGAGTCATGAACACAAGGCTCTCCATTCCTCTTGCATGTGTTCCCTCCCTGATGTTCACAAGGCCCCAGATGTCCTGGGAAAGTAGAAATGAGGACTTAAGCTCCTGGGAAACTGGAACTACTCTGTCCCGGCACCCACATCATCCATCCAGCTCCTTCCTCCTCTCTCCCTGTTCCTAGGAGCTCCGGCATTACACAGTCAGAGATATCACTGAAACACCTGCTTGCAAGGAACTCAGCATGGGACACTGAGGCCTGATGACTTATCTTCTGGGAGTTGGAAAAAGCCTCTCTCATCTACCTCTGAGTCTCAGCTCCCTACTCTCCCCACAGCCCAGGACCACACACAAGCACCACCTGGAGCCTTCTGACCCAGGATGGAGCCAGTTGCTGAACATGCAGTTCAGGGTGCCATCTCCCTGATGCCAGGAGGTCAGCCTCAGCCTCATCTCAAGTAGAGGAAGAGGAAACATTGTTGGTGCTACATTGAAAGAGCTACCCCTTCAGGTTACAGGGGTTCAGGAGCCTCCCACCTAGAGAGGATTGGAGAGAAAAATGGGGGAAGACCAAAACCTGTAGGCAGTATCTCCAAAGAGTTTCCAGAGACCAACCTCTGGACTCCTCCCCCAAGCCAGGACAAGTAGTCAGGTAATCAGCACCTGGAATCACATGTCCTCCTTTGCCAGCCCTGCCCCCACAGCACAGTCCCACCAGCTCACAAGAGATGTTAGGCACAAAGCCTCCCAGTCCCATGGGGCCTTTCCTACGTTTCCTTGGCTCCTAGAGGGGACACCATGCCTGGGAACACCTTCGGCAATCTACCAAGTCACATTTCTGACCCCCTGAACCTCCAAAGGCTTCTCATTGAAGCAAAGAGAACCTTGAAGCAAAAATAAGAGCATTCACCAGTCCACGGTCCTATGCACTACTGAACAGCTCCCCTGAAAGCACCCAAACTCCCATGAAGCAGGCCACCCGGTAGTTTGCAGTTACAGGGATGGACTAGGGCAACTGCTTCTTGCTCTCTCCGTCACCATTCTGGAAAGGTTCAAAGTGTGGGAGCATCTTACAGGTCCCTCAAATGACTTCTGCGCAATTTCTCAATCACAAGATAGAGAAGAACCCAGGAATCCCTACTTCCCAGACTGATGAGTCCAGAGATATTATAAAAGACAGAAGAAAAGTAATAGTTAGGCCCCACTACAAGTATTATTTATCCTTAGCCTATGAGATAGTTACGATCAAGGGGGTAAATATCAAATTCGGATATAGGTATGGCTGATTCAAAAGCTCAAATTCAGTGGTTGTGCATCAACCCATGCACCAAGAGGCTGCCAGTTCGATTCCTGATTAGGATACATGCCCAGGATGTGGGCCCCATCCCCAGTGGGCGCATACAGGAGGTGGCCAATCGATGTTCTCTCTCATCAATGTTTCTCTCTCTCTCTCCCTTTCTCTGTCTCTAAAGTCAATAAAAAAAATTTAAAAAAACAAAAAACAAAAGTTTAACTTTAAACAAAGAAAGTTTCCTCACCCCATTATACAAAATTGCCTCCCCATATGGGAAAAATGGGTAACTCACCTGGATTTAGGTTTGCTTCTGCCAACACAGGTTAGAACAGTGGTTCCCAAACCTGGCCTCACTTCCAGAGATTGACTTATTTGGTCTGGGGTGACCTATGTATTTACCCATCTACATTGTTTTGTGTGTGTGTGTGTATCTGTAGTTAGGAACTCAGGTATGGGAACCGCAGAATCACCTGGTACAAAATATGCAGAACCTGGGGGTCTAGAAAGCAGGGCTTAGCTATTGGCTCTACCATGTACTTGTGGTGTGACCCTCACTCTTCCTGGATTTGTTTCTCACTACAAATACTAGAATATCTGCTCCATCAATCCCTCCTAACACGGGATACTTGCAGGCACAAAGGATATAGGCATAGTTGAGCAAGTGGGAAGAAAAGCAAAAGATGAATTTGAGAGACTTTTCACTCTACTTGCCAAAATTTAGTAAGCCCAAAATTTACATTATGAAAATCAAAATGGTCTAGTTAGTTTGCAAGGAGAGTAGAGGCATATTAAAATAAAACACTTAAAAATTCTAATATGCAGTATCTTACCAGTTAGCCATGCCCATTCAACCCCACCAATGTGAAAAGGTTTCCTTCATTAGAAATCTCTTTATTGAAGGTATTTGGGGACCACCAAATACAATTTAGCAATGTAATTTGAGTAGCCTGTGAGAAACATCCCATTATAAAGACTACTTAACTGGGGATCAGAAAACTTGAGCTTTTTGCCCTGGCTGGTTTGGTTCAGCGGTTAGAGTGTCAGCCTGTGGTATGGAGAGACCCAGGATCGGTTCCTGCTAAGGGCATGTACCTCGGATGCAGTTTGTCCCCGGCCCTGGTTGGGTCGTGTGGGTGGCAACCACTCAATGTGTCCCTTTCACGTCGATGTTTCTCTCTCTCTCTCTCCCTCCCTCTCTATCTGAACAAAATATCAAAAATTGTCCTCGGGTAAGGATAAAAAAAAAACAAACTTGAGTTTTAATTAATTCTCCTAAACAGTGTGGTCTTGGACAAGTCACTTCCTCTCTAGGGTTGTTTTCTTATCTGTAAAGAGGATTAGGTTAGATCAGGGATTAAAAGATGCAGATTTATGAAGTGTATGGGTGGTCCAAAGCCCTGTACCCCAAACAAGACCTCTTCTAGGGAACAGAACCAGAACCAAGGCTCAAATTCCACTAGAAGGCAGGGGTGGGGAGAGGGGCGCCCCATACCCCTCATCCCAATTCTGCACCTGTTCTGGCTCTGTGATCCAAAGACCACTTGAGATTTATGAACCACTTGGAATTATATAAAAATTCCACTTGTGTTTTTGTGTGGCCATTTTTCTGGAGAGGGGACTAAAATTTCATCTGATTTACAAAGGAGCTTGTGACTAAATAGGAAGGTTAAGAACTACTGGGCTACCAGGACTTCAGCTCTCACATTCTGTTCACTACTCCACAACTCTGAAATCAAAGTTTAGGTCCTGAGGTATATATAAATTGAATAGGAAGTCCTAGGGCAAGATCATGACCCTGCTTTCTCCCATACAGTTCTGATCAGGTTTTATTTTCATGATGATCTGAGGTGATTTGCTTCTAGTGGGCAGACTGAATCAAAGAATCCCAAGGGCCTACGATCTGACCTCCCAGAAGTGTGTCACTCCCACCTCAGAGTCACAAAGCCTTGAGACCAAATTAGCTGCACCTGGACCCTAATGGCCAATGCCAAGAGGGCCTCTGCTTCTGCGAAAAACCCACCTACTCCCACCTGGTGGTAAGTTCTTTCTCCCTTCCCCCTGTATATCTTCCCACTGGTCTGAAATTCCTTCCTTAGGGATTCACTGCCTTGGTTTTGCAAAGTCTGAACACTGTGCAACCCAACTCCTTCGGGAAGAGGCATGACATTCTGATTCTAATTAACTAAAACTAAGAATGGTGGGAGGCCAGGGAAAGGACTGGAAGGGAATGAGAGGGCTCCTGAGCTTTGCTCAGGGCACGAGCGCTAGGATAGACTGGATCAACCTCAAGGACATAGGGAGTCCAAAGGGCTGTTTACACGCTGTGCCCTGTACCCCAAACAAGACCTCTTCAGGGGAACAGAACCAGGACCAAGGCTCAAATTCCACCCGGAGGCAGGCGTGTGGAGAGGGGCGCGCTATACCCCTCGATCCAATTCTGCACCCGCTCTGGCTCTGCGGTCAGGACTGGCAGCACCTGGCCCGCGGGGGCGCTCGCTCGTTCGGCCTAATGCTAGCGCCACCTTGGAACGGAGTTTCCGCCGGCCGAGCAAACCTGAGCTCAGGGCTCTTTACCAAGACAAGGTCTTCAAGCCCCTGCCCCGCGAGTTCGCGCTACATTCCCACGCTCCTCCGCCACTGTCGCTTCGCGAGTCTCCCGCAAGCCATCCTTCCCCGATTCCTCCTCCTTCTGCAAGCATTTCCTCCCAACCCCTCCTTTAGCAAGATGGTGGCGAGCGCACTTCCGGCGAGTGTCCTTACGGGTGGGTCCGGGCGGCTGCTGTAGGTGCCGTCCAAGGGGTTCCACCCTCTTGGCTACATAGACTATAACGGTGATGGCGGGCGGACATTGTGGCTGGAGCTGGGCGGCTCTTCTCCACCTCCTTCTTGGCGTGAACCTGATCGTGATGCCATCCATCAAGGCCCGGACTCTGCGCTTCGTTACCTTGGTAATGAGAGATGGGGTTGCCAAAGGGCTCGCCAGAGCTAGAAGGGCACAAGCTTGCTGGGGGAGGAAAGGAAGAGGGGTGGGGGTCTGGAGGAGGAGGAGCTGGTTTAGGAGGAGACTACTGGCCTGCGGTTTGGGGGGCACAGGACTGGGAGCCTGGGTTCTGGACTGATGTGGAGCCGTGGGGTATGGGGGGTACGCTGTAAGGAATTCTATATAAGGGGATAGGTCGGGTGAGTCTGCCCTAGGACAGGGATGTAGTTGAATGATTCAGACACCCACCCCCTGCATAACTTTTTGGTGATGTTTTTTCCAGTCCCCCACCACCTACTTTGCTTTTATTTCTTTTTTCCTTTCCCATCTGTACCTTTGGCTTTGCCTATGATTTCCAGGGTCATTGCTTAAACATGTTAGACTCTCTGGAATCTGGAAGAAGTTACTGACTTCTGAATTGGGGCCTTTTGCAGTGGGTAGAGTTAAGCCGCCTCAGAGAGAGTGAGGCTTCCCTGCCCAAGTGAGGCAGAGGTGGGCTCTGTGTCCCCATCAAGGAGACCCTTCTGACCCATAGGCAAACCATTTTCTTTTGACAGCTGTACCGACATGGAGACCGGTCACCAGTGAAAACATATCCCAAGGACCCCTATCAGGAAGATGAATGGCCCCAGGGGCTTGGCCAACTAACCAAGGTGGGTCAGAAGCCAGCCCTTCCTCAGTATAAGCTGTAGAATGAGTGACCTCCAGAGCAGCCTACAGAACTTGGGGCCCAACAAACCGCCATATCCATTGTAGGTGCTGACTCTGACCAGAGTTCTTAACCTTACTTTCCTCTGTGCCCAACACAATGCCATGCACAACTGGCTACTTAATAAACGACTTCTGGGATCCCATTAATACACTCCTACTTCCAGCCAGGGGTAAACTTGGAAAGCAATAGTGCCTAAGCCCTGTGGGACTTGTGAGCCATCTCTAACCCTTGGGTTTGCCCATAGGAGGGGATGCTACAGCACTGGGAGCTGGGCCAGGCCCTGCGGCAGCGCTACCATGGCTTTCTCAACACCTCTTACCACCCGCAAGAGGTAAGGCTGGGAGCTCAAAATGCAAGGGGAATCAGATCTGCTGTCCTCATCCTCTGTCCTCAGGGAGCCTAAAGGTGAGGCTGGGCACTCTGGCCTCCCTCCATGCATTTTTGGTTACAACTACAGGACAAGGCATCCAAGGGCTGTCCAGAATAAACCCCTAGAGGCTGAGTTGCCCCTGCTTGGCTGGGAAGAGGCAAAACTTATCAAGCATCCAAGCTTGGACTTAGGGGTCTGACAGAGTAGTTTCTGGCTCTGTGAAGTAACTCAGGCTTTCCATTTAAGATACTTATTGAGCACCTACTATTGGCCAAGCACTATGCTATCACATTGCACATTATGGCGCAACACACAGATATGATCTCTTTCTTTGTGGACCTTAAACTGTAGTGGGGGTGACAGATAAATCACACAGGACCCCAGAGATAAAGGTAACAGGGAAAACAGGGCGTGTCAGGGAAGATTGGCAAGTGTTTTGGCTCCTTGAGGCCCCCTCCCCATCCCAAGGAAGGGGATAGCTGTTCCTCTGGTTACCAGTCTCAGCAGTCTCAAGAGTCTCTAGATGTTGTTGTTCCCTTGAGGGCCAGCTCCATCCTGCAGCTTTTTCCTTTCTCTACAGGCAGTTATCTCTGTTCTTTATTTCCTCTCCCTGGTCTCTAAGCCAGTTTATAGAACGGGGTGTGAGTGGAGATAGTTTCTGCCTTCAAGGATCCTGGCCTAAAAAGGGAGACAGGCATTATAAAACTAGACAGACAGACCAGGGAGCCTTACTGATGAAGCACTTCAAACTGGGAGTAGCATCTGAACTAGAGCCATTCCCATAGGGGCAATTCTCGGAGTAGTGACAGCTAGCCCCCAGGGAGTGTTTGGGCCATTGTGGGAAAGAGGGATGGGGAAGGCCAGAGAGGGTGCAAGGGCCAGATGCATGGTGGGTTTACAATTTGGTAACCATCAAGAACAGGTTCTTTTCCTAGAGCCCCAGTAAGGAACCAAAGCTCCCCTCTGCACCCCACAAGAGAGACTCATGTCTCTCTGCAGGTTTATGTGCGAAGCACTGACTTTGACCGTACTCTCATGAGTGCTGAGGCCAACCTGGCTGGACTCTTCCCTCCCAATGAGATGCAGCGCTTCAACCCAAACATCTCTTGGCAGCCTATTCCCGTCCACACTGTGCCCATCACCGAGGACAGGGTAAGACTGGCCAGCCCTTCCCTGAAGGTGGTGAGAGGCCATGGGCCTGCTGATCGTTGACTCCCTCTGTGCCTCTGCTTCCCCCTTTTGGTCTGTAGCTGCTAAAGTTCCCATTGGGCCCATGTCCCCGTTACGAGCAGCTGCAGAATGAGACCCGGAAGACACCAGAGTATCAGAATGAGAGTATTCAGAATGCAGTGAGTGGGGCTGAGGGGGGTCATCACATTGTCCTTTATCCCAGGGCAGGACTGATCCCCGATCCATTTTCCGTAGCAATTTCTGGATATGGTGGCCAACAAGACAGGGCTTACGGACTTGACACTGGAGACCATCTGGAACGTCTATGACACACTCTTCTGTGAGGTGAGCCCATTCAGGGTCCCCAGTGTGACCCTCTTCTCTTACATTCAGCAGGCCCAGGGGACCAGAACACGAAGAACATGATGCCTGGCTACCATTCCCACAGGGGAGGTCCAGGCAAGCGGCCTGCTTCTTGTGAAACAAGGGAACTTCCCTCAAGGGTGAAAAAGAACCCCAGAGTGGGAAATAGTTTATTAATTGTCAGCAGTTCCTGCCCCTCTCCACCCAGAACTCTGGGGGTAACCGACTCCATTCTGCTGAGTCATGCTTTCTGTGCCTGAGCCTCCTTTCCTGTGCCCTGCCTCCTCCACTCTGTCTGCCACGTCTCCTGGTTCCAGTCCCTCTGCTCAGCTGTCCTCTCCCTCCCCTCTCACACACACAGGCACCTTCTCACTGGGGAAGAGAGATGCCCCGGGAGAGGCTCTGGCCTAGGCTGGGGAGCTAACTTGCCCACTGCGATATGCAGAAAACACATGGGCTGGTCCTGCCACCCTGGGCCTCACCCCAGACCATGCAGCATCTGAGACAGCTAAAGGACTTCAGCTTCCGCTTCCTCTTCGGGATCTACAAGCAGGCAGAGAAGGCCCGGCTTCAGGGGGGTGAGTGACGAGAGCAGCATGTCACTCCCTTCCTCAGGACCCTACAGCATTAAAAATCTGCCCCTGGGGGCTTCTCACACACTTCACCTGAAATGTTCTCTCTTTCAGAACCCTTCAGGTCCCCCCGATCATCTCGTTAGTCACCACAGTCCCTAATTTACCAAATGCTTAGCATGTTTGCACGGTATGAATGACCACAGTCAGGTTCGCATGCTTCTCTGCCATTCGTATTCTTAAGTTTCACTCATGTCAGAAGACCCTTCTCCAGTGGTTCCCCCTCCAGAGAACCACTGGGACCACTTGGGAAGAAGGCTGAGGGTAATACACGGGCCAGTTTCCAGCACACAAGCGAGTGCTGCCATCAACCCTTTCTGACCTCTCAGTGGTTTTCAGAGCCTGCACGTGGCAGAGTCCCCTGGCCTGGGGCCACCATCTTGTGTGTTCTGAAGCTGTCTTAAGTCTACATTTGCTCCAAATTGGAGGAATTGTTCAAAGGTGGGCAGGGCCTCGTAGCTCATATTTATCTTGCTTCCCTCTGTGAATCGGAAAGTTGTCAGAGAGCAGGGCGTGCTGTCGAGTTGCTCTGTGGTGCCCAAGCACCCAGGGTTCTCTGTACTGGTGATCAGACCCAGGACTAGCAGAGGGTGACAGGACCACAGATAGATCTGATCGGAAGACAGTGATGGCTGTAGCCACTGACACTGGGGACTTTTCTCCTTCAGGAGTCCTGCTGGCTCAGATACGGAAGAACCTGACGCTGATGGCAACCTCCCCCCAACTCCCGAAGCTGCTGGTTTACTCTGCGGTAAGCTCCTATAGTCCCCAACGTGCTAACATCAAACAAGGAGCTGGATTTCTTCTCTATTCAGTGCCTAGGGGGTATGGGGAGCAGTGCTAATGGGGAGCCCTCTCCCTTACAGCACGATACCACCCTGGTTGCTCTGCAAATGGCATTGTACGTCTACAATGGTGAACAAGCCCCCTACGCCTCCTGCCATATATTTGAACTGTACCAGGAAGATAATGGGTGAGTGGAGCTACTTGTCTGCCCTCTGGAGGGGCACTCGCATGGTGGCTGTGGGCAGCCCAAGGACTCCGTTACAGGCCTGGTTAGCAGCTTCACCTTGTCTCCCATCAACCCATAGGAACTTCTCAGTGGAGATGTACTTTCGGAATGACAGTAACAAGGCCCCCTGGCCACTGAGCCTGCCTGGCTGCCCTCACCGCTGCCCACTGCAGGACTTCCTGCGCCTCACAGAACCTGTTGTGCCCAAGGACTGGCAGCAGGAGTGCCAGCTGGCAAGTGGTCCTGCAGACACAGGTGAGCTGTTGCCTGCCTCTGTACTAGTCATGTCCCAGAACAACTTTAAATCCATGCCCACAAGTCTCGAGGGAGCTGTCGTGCTTCCAGCCATCTTGCTGCATTTCCCTAGAGTTTACTTCCCCACCCCAAGGCCCTTTCACTTTCTCCCTAAGCACATTCAGGTGATGCCCTCACTTCTTATAGCACTGAGAAGATAAATCAGGAGAGAACTGTCCTGATTTTATCACCACCACATCTTCCAGCTTACTTGCTGGTGCAAGCTGCTACTTAAGGCTTCTCTCTCCAGTTACATACTCTGGGCCCCTCTGTTCTCACCTCCAAAAGGACCTCTGATGTCTCAGTGTTTCCTCTCTGCTGGATCAGTCCCATCTCAAAAGCCTAATAAAAACCTCTCAGACACCCGTCTTTCTCCAGCTACCATTCTATTTCTGTTCTGTTAGAGCGCAGGCCTTCAGAGCTGCCTAGACTCTGGTTTCACTTCCTCCCTGCCCGTGGGAGGCTCATGCTGGACAGTCTTGTGTCCACTTTCACTCCATTAACTTTTGTTAAGGTCCAGCAACCTCCTCTTACCAAAGCCTCATACCAGTTCTCAGTCCACTCCTCTCATCTCTCAGCATCATTATATAACTGGTCACTCCTTCCTTAAACACCTTCTTGGCTTCTCTGGTTCTCCTCCTCACTTATAGGCACCTTCCTTACCGGCTTCTCCCCACTAAACAGTGGGTGGCCCAGGGCTGTCTTGGCACTTTTCTCATCTCTGCCCATTCCCGAGGTGATCTCGCCCACCTCATGGCTGGATATACCCTCTCCATGCCAAGTTCCGTCATTTGTGACTTGCAGATTCATGACCTCTTCTCTGAGCTAGACCAGCATATCCAGCCAGCTGCAGACTTGGATGTGACATCGCAAAGCTGATATCTGATACCATATGCTCTTCTCCCCGAAATCTGTTCTTCCTCCAGTCTTTGCCATCTAAGTAAATGCCACATTAGTGACCCAATTGCATAGTATAATCCTAGGACTAATCTTGAATCCTTTTTCTTAGACCCCACACCCATCCACTAGGAGATCCTAGCATCTCAACCTTTAAAATACATGCTCTTACCTTTCATAGTATTAACTCAGTGTCTGATTTCTCTTTGTTCACTCCATTTACTTCTAAAATGCAACACTAGCCTGCAAGGTCCACTTGGCTTTGGTTCTGGCTCTCTGTAGGAGAGACGGTCAGCAACTCCCACCCAGTCAGACCAAGCACTCGTGTCTGTAGAGCTGTGTTGGATCTGAAGCTTTCTCATTTTGGGGAAGGCAGTATGACTCTGTGGCTAGAAGTCTGGGTAGTATAACTTTGTGGCTAAGAGCACAGATGCTATGTCAGACCTTATTTTGACTCCTGCCTGCCTTCTTGTCATCAGACTTTTTGGCAGGTTTGACCTTTCAGAAATTTCATTTTCTGTAGTATAACTAAAAGCCTACCTTGAAAAAAAATAAAAAACAGCCCAGCCAGTGTGGCTCAGTGGATTGAGCGTTGTCCCATGGATGGAGAGGTCCGGTTTGATTCTGGGTCAGGGCACATGCCTGGGTTGTGGGCTCAATCCCCAGTAGGGGGCGTGCAGGAGGCAGCTGATTGATGTTTCTCTTATCTCTGTCTCCCTTCCTCTCTCTCTCTAAAAAAAAATAATAATAAACCTGTTTTAAAAAAAACATGCTCCTGCTCCATAGTCCAATCTACCATCAGCTCTTGCCTGAATTACTGATAAGCTTCCTAATGTTCAGAGTCTTTTCTTGTCCATATCAGTCTCTCAGCATAGATGAGTTAATTTCTTTCTTTCTTTTTTTTTTTTTTTGTGGTACGTGCCCCTAGCAGGAACCGAACCCGGGACTCTCTGGCCCACAGGCTGACGCTCAACCGCTGAGCCAAACTGGCCAGGGCTAGACGAGTTAATTTATTTAAAAAGTAAGTTGCCCTGGCCGGATTGCTAAGTGGTTAGAGCACTGGCCCACAGACCAAAGAGTTGAGGGTTCAATTCTAGTCAAGGGCATGTACCTCAGTTGCATTTCAGTCCCTGGCCCTGGATGGGGTCCTGTGGGAGGCAGCCAATCGATGTCTTTCTCTCACATCGATATTTCTCTCTCTCTCCTTCCCACTCTGTCTAAAGATAAATGGAAAAATATCGAGTCAGGATTTAAAAAAAGAAAAGTCAGTTCACATTACTACCCTTCTCAGAATCTTCCACTGGCTTCCCATCACATTTAGAATAAAATCCAAGTTCTTGACCACTTAGCCTGGTCCTCCACTCTCATCTCCTACTTATCCCTCACTCTGCTCTAGTGGTACTTTCTTGATGACCTCAGAACATGCCAAGTTATTACCACATCAGGGCCTTTTGCACTTGCTTCCTGTCTACTCTCCGCCCCACCACAGGACTCTCTCCTCTCAGATCTTTGTATGTCTCACTGACTCTGGGTCTCTGTTCAATTTATCCTCAGTGAGGCCTTCCCTGACTGACTGCATCCTTTCTCCCTTACCTTGCTTTGCTTTATCGCATTTGTCACTAACTGTGGATATCCCCATTGTAAAAACAGTCCCTGGCATATGGTAGGCAATCAAATATTTGTTGAATCAATGCTCTGACTTGCCCTTTCTCTCCCCGTCCCTGTGCCCAGAGGTCATCGTGGCCTTGGCTGTATGTGGCTCCATCCTCTTCCTTCTCATAGTGCTGCTACTCACCGTCCTCTTCCGGATGCAGGCCCAGCCTCCTGGCTACCGCCACGTGGCAGACGGGGAGGATCATGCCTGACAACCACTCAGCCCCTTCCCTCTGCCTCCCCAGGGAGGTGGGCTTGGCCCTCATTCCTGACTGTTGCTGCTCCCCAGCCCATGGACAGGAGACCCTGGGTTGGGCCTCCCTCTGATTACCCCAACCTAGATGAACAAGTGGGACTCGGCTTGGTCCATGGCACCTGTCACTCAATATTCACGTTCCCGATGTTTACCAAGTACTGTTGGATATTGGCTGTCTCCAAATAGGATTTGTCTCCTCCATGCTCCCTTAGGACCTGAAATGTAGACAAGTATTCAAGTTTCACTCGGGACCTGGGATAAAAAAACTGAAGGAGCTGGTGCTTCATCTGCCTTGCCCTCCCCCTCCCCCAGTCAAGACCTGCTCTCTCCCAGCCCGGAGTCTGGCAAATGGCTCAGAAGACACGGTCGTGCTCTCAGTGCTTTTTTTAACTGGGAAAAACTGCATAACATTGGGGGCACGAATAGTGGCCACCAAGGAACCAGATCACCCAACAGCCAGCCAGTCAAGTTTCCCTTTGTCCAGCGGAAGCCACCGTTAGGGTGAGACATAGGGCTTAATGCATCCTGGTCACCCCTGTAGCTTGAGCAGGTCGGAAGGGTATTTGTACTTGGGAGGGAGTCGGGGGAGGTGGGAGGAGAGTGAATGGTGGTATAGACAGGAAACTACTACCCCCTCAGCTGGCTGGCTGAGGTCTCCAGGAATGTGAGTGAGTCAATGCAGGTGGTAAGCTGGACAGCTGTTGACTGTGGCCCACAGTAGGGCTGAGGTAGCTTGAGAAAAATGAACGTTTTGGATTCTTAATGCTGTTTCTGTGCCTTTTCTTCATTTTGGAGACCCAGGAGCGACCAGGTCAGTGCTCAAAGATCCACTCAGGAGCTCAGTTAGGTATAGTTTTATTGGCCATGTCAATAGTGAACACAAATAAAAAACCACCACCTGATCACTCTGCCACCGCATGTCAGAGAGGAGAAGAGTACCTTGGCTCCAGGAGAAGCTTGGTTCCAGGCTAGAAATAGCAGGGACCCTTGGGGGAGCTGGGTCACCAACTCTGGAGAAGTTTCCAGAGCTAAGTCCAGAGCAATAACATGCCAGTGTCCTAATCCCACAGTATCCCATGCCACAGCATCCTTGCTCCACCCTAAGACTTGGATACCTTGGGCCCTTTAACACATAGCCGCCTCTTCTCGCAGACTTGTCACGTGGCTCCAAGCCCTTGGCCTACACCTTCATTAATGTCTCTCATTTCCGCTTCCCAGCTTCCTCCTGGCTCCAAATGAGAATGTGATAACCTAGGAGGAGTAAGACCAGTCTGACTCACCTTCTGTTATCAGTCTCAGTGCTTGGGGCTGGCCCAGGGAATCCAGAACTTGGTAAGGAAACACCAGGGAACTGGATAGCAGCCAGGCAGTGCCATGACCAAGACAAAACAAGAGGGGTAGGGGGCCTAGGCTGAAGAGACCACCGTCTCCTGGTTATCTTCTCCACTGACTGCTACTCTGGGGTGAATGTGGCAGGGCTAAGCTGAGGTTAGCTTACACTGAACCTTGGGGAATAATAGGGTCGGGCCTACTTCACTCACCCATCACAGAGGCCAGTGTGTCTCCCATAGGATTGAATTCATTGAGCTGCAGAGACAAAGGGATAGCATGAGGAGGGGGTGAAGGTATTAGGAGAAGGGCAATTTCTGGTCATCTTTGGTCAATAAGGTAAGTTGAATCCTTGTTCCCTCCCATCATTATTTGAGGGCCTAAGACTCACCGAAATGATACCAGAAGATTCTGGGTCATAGAGCTGATGCATCAACTTCCCTGAGCTTCCATCAAACATATCGATTGTCCTTAATTCATAGGGGGTACAACTTTTGAAATTAGGATCTGGGTATCTGCCCACAACAATGAGGTTGTACCGAGGGTGCCAGGATGCCTAGGAGATGGAAAGGCTGGTCACTAGAGTAAATGCAGAGCACTGTCAAGAGGGACATCAAAAGTATTCTTTGCCATTAACAACTGTTAATACAGTTGCCAACAATTTAATAGTGGAGATAAGCCCTGGCCGGTTTGGCTCAGCGGTAGAGCATCGGCCCTTGGACCAGTGAGTCTCAGGTTCAATTCTGGCCAAGGGTTGCGGTTTGTCCCCGGCCCTGTTCAGGGTTGAGTGGGAGGCAACCAGTCTATGTGTCCCTCTCACATCGATCTTTCTCCCTTTCTCCCTCCCTCCCTCCCACTCTATCTGAAGAAAAATGGGGAAATATCCTCAGGTGAGGATTAAAAATAAAAATAAATCCCCAGCTGGCTCCCCTGGCCCTTAGGACACCTTCAGGCCTTCTCTCCTGCATTTGCTGAGGTCATACCAACTGATAAATGTTTTTTATTTATTTTATTATTTTTTAACCCTCACCCAAGGATATTTTTCTATTTATCTTCATATTGAGTGGGAGGGAGGGAGAGAGAAACATTGATATGAGACAGGCACACTGACTGGTTGCCTCCCACACGACCCTGACCAGGGCTGGGGATGAACCACAACAAGGTACGTGCCCTTGACCAGACTCGAACCCACAACTCATTGGTCTGCAGGCTGACACTCTAACCTCTGACCTTCAAACTGGCCAGGGCCCAACTGATAAATGTTTTAACATCAGCCTGACCCAGATATTAATCAAAGAGGTGAGCCTACAACAAAGGAAAAAGCCTCTGGTAACCAAACCCAAATAGGACATATGTTCTGAAGCAACCCCACTACTATCTCCATCAATGTGAATGATAGAGTTGAGTAGTAAATAGCTGGTGTCTGAAAAGGAGAGGAAATGTATGTTTCCCAGATTACTCCACTCAAAACAAATCTCAGTTATTGTAAGACAGCTTAGACAGGATTTTCCTAAGAAACTTCTCAAGGAAGTGTTTTAGGAGGAAAGATGTAGTCAGGAAGAAGCATACTTGCGGTCTTGGAAATAAGGCACCAGCCAGTCATAGGTGGCTTCACTGGATATGAAGTGAGAGATGACAACAGATGAATCAGTGGGAACACAAACTGGTCAAGGACCTTGATGCTGTTAAGCACTTGGATTTGATTTGAGGTGTATGGGGGCCACTAATAACTGTCATCACCAATGACTGAGTACTTAGCAGGGAGCAGGTGCCACAGGCTCCAACTCCACTGAACCAGCCCTACAGCAACCCCATCAGTTAGACACCATGATTCCCTTTTCATAGACAGGGAACTGAAACCCAACATTAAAGTAATTTGCCCAAGATTCTAACCCAAGGGGTCTGCCTGCCTGGAGCTGGTGCTCCTCACCACTGTACTATACTGACCAAAGTACAGGCATGAAACCTGGAGGTTTGAAGAGGGGCTGTGGTTCTGGAAAAGAATATAAAATAGTAGAGAGGAAGAACTGGCAGAGTTCAGACTGCTTGCAGAGGTGGGGAACGTCCGGCCCGTGGGCCATAGAAGGCCCTCGAATCAGTACCAGTTAACATCACACACCTCACCATGTTAGCCTGACCAAATATAGCAGGCTAATTTTTAAAAATCCTTACCTGAGGATATCTTTCCATTGATTTGCAGATACAGTAAGATGGAGGGGAGGACAGAGAGAGAAACGCCGATGTGAGAGAGACATAAATAGTTGCCTCCCACATGACCCTGACCAGGGCCAGGGCCCAAACCACAACTGAGGTACATGCCCTTGACTTGAATCAAAATCGAGACTCTGGTCCGCAGGCTGGTGCTCTAAACAATGAGCCAAATCAACCAGGGCTAGCAGACTAATTTTTGTGGGTTTTTTTAATCCTCACCCAATGACATTTTTCCATTTATTATCAGATAGAGTGGGAGGGAGGGGGAGAGAGAGAGAAACATTGATGTGAGAGAGACACATTGACTGGTTGCCTCCTGCACCACCTGACCAGGGCCTGGGATGAACCGCAATGGAGGTACGTGCCCTTGACTGGAATTGTACCCATGATTCATTGGTCCATGGGCTGATGCTCTAACCACTGAGCCAAACTGGCCAGGGCTAGCAGGCTAATGTTTTAGTTGATAATTTTGTATGGCCCTCGAATGATGTTATAAATATCCAAATGGCCCTTAGCAGAAAAAAGGTCCCCCAACCCTGGCTTAGGGCCTTGGGCAGGAAGGAATCTCAGGACTTGAAGACTCAGCCATGGGGACTGAGGCTAGAGAAACTGCCAACAAGAAGACTAAGGTTAGCGTATAGGTCAGCTACACACATGGAACAAACTGCGGGGACCAGAGGGTCAGGATCTTAGAAAATACCTCAGTGAGGAGATCAGGGCTGAGTTGAAAAAAGTCAGGAAAATAGCTTATCAGAGGCAAAAGAAAATCCAGCCAAATGGGAGTGCAGAAGTGGGACAAAAGGAGCAAAGAGCCAGGGGATACGAGACTACTGTGTGTCAGGGCAGGAAGAGGTCTGGGAGAGGCTCCTGTAATCTGTCCTTTCCCACCTTGGGCAGATGCTGTCCCCATGATCACAGCTCTTTACTCCATCACTTACCTTGATGGGTGTCAGGTGCTGGAAGTGGCGGTGAGGGTGTGGGATCAGGCTTGGGGGGCAGTCCCACTGGGAGGCAGAGTAAACACGGATCTCACTCTTCTGGTCTGTGGTCAGGAGCTGGGCTCCATCGGGACTGAAATGAGCTGGCAAGTGAAAAGCCACAGGATGAAGGTGTCACAGGCCTTCTTTTGCAGGGACACCCTCCCTCCTACTCCTCTCTAGACAGAAGGAGGTGAATCTGGGCTGTGAACAAAAACATTCTAGAACTCAGCTGATGGGGCAGCTAGAGTCAGAAGGGTTCCAAGACAGCGTGGCAGATGCTGTCAGGGGTAAAGGTTTGACCTAGCAGCTTCTAAACTTTGAGGGAAAACCTTAGAAGAGGTGGGTTAGACAGGGTCTACAGGAAGGATGAAGTATATCACACCTGCGTTGACAGGATGCCTGTGTGGCAGCGAGTAGAGGAAGCTGGATTTCCCTTTGACCTGGCGCAGATCCCAGATTTTCACTGTTTGATCTACAGAGGCTGTAGCTAGGAACCAATCACAGCATGGGTTCAGGGCCACATGGGTCACTTTCTTTTTGTGCATTCTCAGATTCCAAATCTGCAGAAAAAGGCTTGGTTCAGGTGTGGGCAGAGAACCAAGGTGGGGGTAAGGGAGGCAGAGGGAGGACCTGAGCTCCCGAGCACACACCTCCTTGCCGTCCATATTCAGCAGGACCACGTGCCCCACATTGTCTCCTGTGACCACCACTCGGCTTTCAGCAGATACATCCAGGCTGCAGAACCAGAAACTGGAGGGAGAGACTGTGCTATAAGGTTCTTGGGGACAGCAGCAAGGTCCACTTATTCACTGTTGTAGCTCCAGTGTCTGACACAGAGACATTCAATAAACATTTGTTGAATGAATGAGTAACTGTCTTGCATGGACTCCCAGTGAGGAACACTCACGTTTTCCATCCAGACAGAAGGTTTGGGGGTGATGGGGCTCAGAAATGTGTCTGCTGGACCCAGGATGCTCAGCCAGCATGAGTCCTGGAAGCAGCCAGACCTCAGAGCTATAAGGCAAGTCCCCGGGCTAGCTTGCCCCACACAGCCCTGGGTTCTGAGGAAAACTCTATGATCCTCTCCCTTACTCTCCACTTGTTGAGCCAAAGGAGGTGACAAACCAGACAGGTGACAAACCAAATAGCCCTGTTCCTCAGAGCTGGCTAGAAAGGAACTTCTGCCCTCTTCTGAGCATTCAGGGGAAAGTACACACAACCCAGAAGCTGTCTGGCTCTTGTCCCTCAGATGCCTTGAGGACGATGGGGAAGGGGTGCTTCAGGGATCCCAACACCCAGTCAGGAGAGCTCAGATTCATGTCTTTTCTTTCACACCCTCAAATCCTTGCTACACCACCTGTTGCATCCCCTGTAAACATCTTCCAGAGGGATATTTTTTTTTTGTGGTACATGCCCCTAGCAGGAACCAAACCCAGGACTCTCTGGTCTGCAGGTCGACCCTCAACTGCTGAGCCAAACTGGCCAGGGCCAGAGGGAGATTTTTTTTGTGGAAGAGAAACCTAGAGCTGAGTCTATCTCGTCACCTGTGCGGGTTGTGTGTATACTTCTTACCCCTGTGGGGCAGTCCAGGATAACACCCAGTGCCAGTTAGATCCCCCACACCCTCAGTTCCTTAGGGAGCAGGGTCGCGTCTCTGGCTAGAAATCAAAGTGACAAGCATTTTGTAGCTTCTACAACTACTTGCTCTCGGGAAGTCCATAGTGCCTTATGGACATGATTCTATCCATTTAAGCTTCAGGGAACTGGTTGAGTCGTCACACCCCAGTGGATGTAGGGAATGAAATTTAAGTTCTTACTTCCTGCTCCGGGATTTAAGTGGCTTTCTAGGCCAACGCCGTGTTGACTTGTCCAGTGAGAATCAAGGTCTTGTCTAACGCAGGAATAACAGAAGAGCTGAAGCTCTTCCCTTGCTGAGAAGAGCAAGGCTCCAGAACACCTCCCCAAATTAGTAACCCACCTGGACCAGAGTAAGAGCAGCTAAAGCAAGGGTGTGAGAAAGAGACGGAAGGATGGAGAGTGGCTAACACCTTTCCTTACTTCCCTGCGCCAGGTCTGGGGAGAAGAACTGGGATCTGGACGCCCTTGCCAGAACTACACCAAGAGCCTAGACGCCCTTTCCCCTAGTCGGTAAACTACTCACTTGCAGGTGCCATAGTTGGTATAAACTTGGAGAGTGTTGCCTTTAAAGTCTTGCAGCCTAGTTGTTCCCTCCATTGAGGAGGTAAAAAACTGGTTGGCATTGAGAGGGTTAAACTTCAGCCCAGTGATGCTCCCTCCAGCTCCAATCTAACGCAGGAAGAGAAAAGCCAGTGAGTGATCATGGCCCAGGAGCAGGATGAGGTCTGGTGCACCTACTCTGCCCGAGAGAAGTGCCAGGCAGGCCCTGTACCTGGGGCCAGGCCAGTTTACATGCCTAGACCCTAGGATGCTCTGCACAGTTTATTCTTGAGGCTTTAGTTTTAATTTTATTTCTTAAATTTACACACAGTAAATTTAGTTATTTTGGGTTTATAGTTCTACAAAATTTTTTTTTTTAATCCTCACCCGAGGATATTTTTTCCTTTTTTTGTTGTTGTTGTTCAGATAGAGTGGGAGGGAGAGACAGGAAGACACAGACAGAGAGAAACATCGATGCGAAAGAGACACATTGAGTGGTTGCCACCTGCACGAACCAACCAGGGCCGGGGACAAACTGCAACCGAGGTATGTGCCCTTAGTGGGAACCGAACCCAGGTGTCTAGGGACAACAGGCCAACGCTCTAACCGCTAAGCCAAACCAGCCAGGGCTAGTTCTACAAATTTTAACACAAGTATGGCTTTGAATAACCACCACCAAAATCAGGATGCAGAACAGTTCCGTTACCACCCAAAACTTCCTTGTGCTCTTCCATTGTGGTTATACCTCCTCCCACCTAACCCCTGGCAACCACTGATTTGTTGTCCATTGCTATGGTGCTATGGTTTTTGCCTTTGATAGACCATCATATAAGTGACCATAGAGTATGCATCCTTTTGAGACTAGCTTCTTTCATTTCACTCAGCACGATGCCTCTGAGACTCACCCAAGTTGCTGTGTGTATCTATATCTGCTTCAGTCTGATTGCTGAGTTCTCCACTGTGTGGATGCACCATAGTTACTACATGATGCTCTTTTTAGAGGTGCTCTGGCTCAGTACAGTGGCTGGGTTAGGAGGGCAGGAGACAGATCTGAGCTCCTTCCTGTTTTTTCCCAGACATCCCAGACAAGGATGATGAAAATAATCACGATAACATCAATAGCTTAACCTTATTACGTGCTTACTATGCATCAGGCACTGTTTTAAGAACTTTACATCCCCAAGGGTTCCTTCTCTACTTCTTCCTTGTGCTACTCTCTCAACTTCAGGACTCCACGAGGTCTCTTACACAACAACCACTTCACTCATTCAACATGCTAACGGGCTCTTTCCATTCCTTCTATAAACATTCTAACCAATGCCCATTGTCTGACAGACCCTTGATGCTAGGAAGATAATCTGCTCCCACCTGTTGAGGTCAGTGCTTACAAGGGTTGGTTGTGTTTGTTCTTAAACCTGTATATGCCAGTTTTACTTTTTATTATAATTATATAATTCAATTAAACATGTAATTTAATCACATAACTTAGTAAACATTTAATTAAATATTTAAACATTCAATTAAACATGTAATTTAATTAAACCAATGAAGTACAAGCAAAAAGAAAGACTACTGTTATTTCTATGAAAGCCATGCTGAATGCTTTGGAAAAATCAGATAAAAATGAATTGCTAGCCCTGGCCGGTTTGGCTCAGTGGTTAGAGCGTCGGCCTGCGGTCCGGAGAGATCCGGGTTCGGTTCCCGCTAAGGGCGCGTACTTCGGTTGCAGTTTGTCCCCGGCCCTGGTTGGTCGTGCGGGTGGCAGCCACTCGATGTGTCCCTTCACGTCGATGTTTCTCTCTCTCTCTCCCTTCCTCTCTCTCCCTCCCACTCTATAAAAAACAAAAAACAAAAACAAACAAACAAACAAAAAATTAATTGCTAAAAATAACAGTTGTCAAACTAAGCATGAGTGAGAAACTTAAAACAATTAGGGTGGGAAATAAAAATTTTAAAAGAATCTGCTATCAGATTGCTTCAGGACTATCTTTAAATTACATTTCCACTTTAGGGAAATGGAAATTAGACCATATAAAGAATACACTATATGAATAGTTTATGTAAGACCAGCTGCACCCTAATCAATGGGCCCTTACTCCAAGAGAAGGACAGGCCCTTTATCAAAGCAGAAGTAACAAACACACACACAAACATTTTGTTGTTGTTAATCCTCACCTGAGGATATTTTTTCCACTGAATTTTAGAGAGTGGAAGAGTAGGGGGTGGGACGTTGGGGGAGGGAAAATCATCAATGTGAAAGGGACACACAGACTGGTTGCCTCCTGGGCCAGAGATTGAACCTGCAACCCAGGTTCCTGCCCTTGACTGAGAATTGAACCTTCGACCCTTCAGTCCGAGGGCTGATGCTTTAACCACTGAGCCATACCAGATAGGGCCACACACATAAACATTTTAAGTAAAAATGCATGAGTGTTCTCCTAGCAAAGGTGGACTAAGTGGTTATGACCAACTTTTGCACTGAGAAGGACTAACAAAACTTGGACAAATATGAAAATAAATATATTTGAGACTTCCAATTCCAGTGATGGTGGTTTAGCTTGTGTCAGACCAACCTTCTGTTGAGAACAATAAGAAAAGGTAGCTAAAACATGTCTTTAAAGAATGTAAAATGGGCCCTGGCCAGTTTGGCTCAGTGGTTAGAGCGTCGGCCTGCGGTCCAGAGAGACCCGGGTTCGGTTCGGTTCCCGCTAAGGGCACATACTTCGGTTGCAGTTTGTCCCCGGCCCTGGTTGGTCGTGCGGGTGGCAGCCACTCAATGTGTCCCTTCACATCGATGTTTCTCTCTCTCTCTCTCCCTTCCTCTCTCTCCCTCCAACTCTATCTGTACAAAAAATGGAAAAATATCCTCGGGTGAGGATAAAAAAAAAAAAAAAAAATGTAAAATGGTGCACCCGCTTTGGAAAACAGTTTGGCAGTTCTTTAAAAAAGTAAACATAGTTACCATGTGACTCAGCAATTCCACCCCTAGAGAAATGAATACGTATGTTCATGCAAAGCTTGTACACAAATATTCATGGCAGCACTATTTTTAATAAAGGAAAGGCAAAAAAACAACAAAAAAACAGGTAACTCAAACATCCATCTCAAGAAGTTGTAGAACTAACAGGAAACTAAAGCCAAAGAAAGTAGGGAAAAAAAAACACTCCAGAAATTAATGTAACAAAACAAATATACTGTGGGGAGAGTCAACACAGCCAAAAGACTAATAAAATTGATATTGCCCTGGTGAAACTGACCAAACAAATAAAAAGGCACACATAAACAATTTAATAGATAGAAAAAGGGACATCACTATAAATCTTAGACACTTTAAAAAGTAAGACGATATCATAAATAATCTTATGCCAATGAATCTGAAATTTTAGATGAAATGGGCAAATTCCTAGAAAAAGACAAACTTGCCAAAGTAACAAAGATGAAAGAAAATCTTATTAAAGAAATAAAATAAAATAAAAAAGAAACTGAATTCACAACTAAATACGTTCTTGCAAAGTAAATTCTAGATCCTGATGGCTTCACTGGTGAATATACTAAATATTTAAGAAAAAAATAATATCAATCTTTTTGAAATTTTATTTTCAAAATATCTCAAACTCACAGAAAAGTTGCAAGAATAGCACAAAGACCTATTTTTTCTGGAACCATTTGCTAATAGACTGCCAACATGACGTCTCATTCATCCTCAAATACTTTACTGTATACAAGGTGAGAAAAAAGTAGGTTTACAGTTTTTCATATGGAAAATAATACAATAAATAAGAAATGATAAGAATAAACTGTGTTTTGTGTAATCACAACTGTAAACCTACTTTTGTCCCACCCTGTATTTCCTACAAGGTTATTTCCTACATAACTGCAATAAGATATCAAAACTTAGGGGTATCTTAAGTAGTTCAAACTCATAGAAACAGAAAGAACTGTGGTTGCTAAGGGCTGGGCAGGAGAAGTGAGGAATGGTTATTAAGTGGGTATGCAGTTTCAGTATTACAAGATGTAAAGTTCTAGAGATTTCTTGCACAACAATGTGAATATAGTAACACTACTGAATTGTACACTTAAAACTGTTTCAGATGAGCTCAGGTGGTGTGCTCAGTGGACTGAGCATTGTCCCCTGGACTGAGAGGTTCCAGTTCGATTCCAGGTCAGGGTACATGCCCGGGTTGCAGGCTCAGTCCCCAGTATGGGGTGTGCAGGAGGCATTTCTCTCTCACACTGATGTTTCTCTCTCTCTCTCTCTCTCTCTCTCTCTCAAAAAAAATCAATTAAAAAATGTTTCAACCCTGGCTGGTTTGGCTCAGCAGTTAGAGCGTCGGCCTGTGGACCAGAGAGTCCCGGGTTCGGTTCCCGCTAAGGTCACGTACCTCGGTTGTGGCTCATCCCTGGCCCTGGTTGGGGTTGTGCGGGTGGCAACCAGTTGATGTATCTCTTTCACATCAATGTTCTCTCTCTCTCTCTCTCTTCCTCCCTCTCTCTCTTACACTCTATCTGAAGATAAATGCAAAAATGTCCTCGGGTGAGGATAAAAAAAAAAGGTTTCAGATGATAAATTTTAGGTTATGTGCTTTTACCAGTTTTTAAAAGAAGCAGTATTAAAAAAAAAAAAAAAAAAAAAAAAAGCCCTGGCCGGTTTGGCTCAGCAGTTAGAGCGTCAGCCTGCAGTCTAGAGACCCAGGTTTGGTTCCCGCTAAGGGCACGCGTACCTTGGTTGCAGTTTGTCCCCGGCCCTGGTTGGGTCATGTGGGTGGCAACCACTCGATGTGTCCCTTTTACATCGATGTGTTTCTCTCTCTCTCTCTCTCTCTCTCTCTCTCCCACTCTATCTGAACAAAAAAATAGAAAAATGTTCTTGGGTGAGGATAAAAAAAAAAAAAAAAAGAAGCAGCAGCAGCAGCAGTATTACTTGCTAGGGATATCATTATAGTTGTAAAAGAGTAAAAAATTTTTTAAATTTAAATGAAAAAATGGAATATAACTAATAAACCAAAACAAATAAAAAACAATTAGTATAGTTTACCATATTAACAGAATAAAAAAATCATATGTCTATTGATATCAATAGATACAAAAAAGTATTTGATGAAATTCTATTATCATTCATAAGAGCTTTT